TATACTTCAGATGTTTTTTCTCCTACTGTGTTGAATCAAGCAAAGTCCTTAAAGTGAAGGCATTTGGAAGAATGTTTTTTTTGTTCACTTCTAACTGTGTATTTTTCATTACATGAGTGCAAATTGCAGAAATAGTCTGAGGTCTCTGACAGTCAGTCTACGTTTTACAAATTACAACTAGTCTAAATGTAAATATAATGGAATCTGAAACAATACTAGCTTTATGTAGTTTTCAGTCTGTTGAAAGACTTCCTGTAGCTGTGTCCTCTTTTAAATAGCTGATTATAGAAAAGACTCAGTAATCATTATCATCTATATGAAAATGCAGTTCAAATGAAAACAGTAGGTTAGCTACTAATATCCCTATTCAGATTTTATTCACTTAAACAGTCATATAGATGTTAATAGGTGTTTTGACTGATTAGAGATTTCAGCATCAGGTCTATAGTCATTATGACTAACGTTTTCTCAGTAACTAGTCATGCATATCAGAATAATTGGTCTGTGCTATCACTAACATGTACAAAGCTCCCACAGCATGGTCATCATTAACAACACAGAAAAAAAGGAAGTAAGGAGCTAAAAAACCTAAATGGGGAGACAGTACAAAACACTGGGATACACATCAGAGAAAGCTACTTTCTCTTTTCATATAAAATACTAAAGGGAGAGAACAGTTTTAAGACTATTTTTATTATGGGATATTTGTGAGGGAATCAGCTTTGAAGAGGTAGAAAAGAGAGAGTGTGTCTCACTGGGATGAGAAGACAGGTCCTGACATAGATCATAAATGAGCAGCCTTTTGCATTCATATCTTCATGCATTTTTTTTGCCAGTAAAAACAACGTAATTAAATGAACTTGATAGAGAAACCCACCAAGCATTTTACTAAAACTGGCCTGTCATAAATGGCTTTATATGATAATATTTGAAAGTGAAAACTGCAAAGTAGGGATTGTTTCCTGAATTCTTATTAAACGTTTTGGGTTTGTGTGGCCAGGTTTTGGTAGCAGGAGGCTACACAGGTCGCTTCGGTGAGAAGCTTCTGGAAGCTTCCCCCATGTCTGGTGGAACCAATGCCAGCCGGCTCCAGGACATACCCACTGCTGGCCAAGGCTAAGTCAGTCAGGAATGATAGTGATGCCTGTGACAACATATTTCAGAAGGAGTAAAAAAAAAAAAGTTATTTGGGCAGATGAAAATTGCAGCCAGAGAAGCGTGGAGTGAGAACATGTGTACAGCTCTGCAGACACCGAGGTCAGTGCAGAAGGAGGGGCAGGAGGTGCTCCAGGTGCCGGAGCTGAGGCCCCTGCAGCCTGTGGTGTAGATCATGGTGGAGCAGCTGTGCCCCTGCAGCCCATGGAGGACCATCGGGGTGCAGAGACCCACCTGCAGCCTGTGAAGGGGACCCACACCAGAGCAGATGGATGCCCAAAGGAGGCTGTGACCCCATGGGAGGCCCATGCTGGATCAGGGGCCTGGCAGGGACCTACTGACCCGTGGGAAGAGGAGCCCATGCTGGAGAAGATTTTCCTGGTAGGACTTGTGGCCCTGTGGGGGACCCATGCTGGAGCATCCTGTGCCTGAAGGATTTCACCCTGTGGAAAAATGACCCACTTTGCAGCAGTTTGTGAAGAACTGTTGCCTGTAGGATGGATCCACACTGGAGAAGTTTGTGAAGGACTGTCTCCCATGGGAGGGACCACATGGGGAGCAGGGGAGAGACTCCTGTCTCTGAGCAGTGGCAGAAACAACCTATGGTGAACTGACTGTAACCCCCATTCCCATCTCCTTTCACTGCTGAGGGAGAGAAGGTAGAAATTGCGAAGGAGGGTGGGGTGGGAGGAAAGTGGTTTTAAGATTTATTTTACTTCTCATTCTCCTACTCTGATTATGTTAGTAATTTTAATTAATATCCCCATTTAGAGTCTGTTTTGCCCGTGACAGTGATTGCTGAGTCATGTCCCCCAGTCCTTATCTCAGCTCATGAACCCTTAGTTATATTTTCTCTTCCTCTGTCCAGTTGCAGAGGAGAGTGATAGAGTGGCTTGATGGGTACCTGACACCCACTACAGTTATACACCCCAAAAGTGTGCACTTCATACATTTATTATATGGTTGGTCCTGCAGCAGTTTTAGTGATTACTGGCACAGTACCATAGTTACATTTTTTGTTAATACTGATATGTCAGAGCTGGTGCATAAGACAGATTTCCTTGTTCCTGTTTCTTTCAGTTCCCCTCTGAAAAGGGGCCCAGTGGGATGCATTCTCAGCCAAGGGCCATGCTAATGTAGGCAGTGATGTAAACAAGTCAATAAAGAGTTTAATGATGGCCATCAGTATTGCATTGTTAGGTGTCTTTCAGCATTTGCATTTTTAGTTCAGTCTTTGTTTTGCCTGGTGATGCTGCTCAGGACGTACATGTAATAATGTAACTGAGCTTTGTGAGAATGTGATCAGCACATCTGCATAAAATAGTGAATGGGTTGCTGAAAACTCCATTTAACATATTCCTTCTAAAATCAGTGCATTCCTCTTGTCCTCTTGTTCCTTTCCTTCTTACTTGCTATAGTAGACATTTCAAAAGTTATTCTGTGCCTCTGAATAGTTCTGTGCTGCTTAACTGTTCCAACCCATTAGATTATAAATTTGTTTCTCGTGTTTCAAATTTGTGCATAGGGGATGTGTTTAGAGGGACTTTTTGTATTCATGAAAAAGGAAAACAAAATTGAAAGTGCTAAGAAAAATGACTATTGAGGTAATGTAGTCTATTTTTGCACAGAGCAAATATCAAGCTAATGCATAAGATTTATCCTCTATAGTAAATCAGCAATATGTCTCATTTTAGGCCTCTCCTATGACTACTATTTTTTACTGCCGTATTCAGTCATGCTGATTTATGCCATACTATCCTGTGAATATTTTGCAGAATATTATCAATAAAATAATTTTATTTTTGGGTCCAGATGGAATGAGCCTAGAACACAAAGACACAGAGCATGATTCCTGCCTCAAGTATTTTAATGCTTGAAATAAACTTGGCATAAAATGTGAGACAGGGACACAAGACATCAGGGAGTGGAGGACTGGATCAGGAAAGGCATCAGCCAATTAACAAAATATTTTGTGCTGTAAGGGCTCTTGTACTCAGATGGCTCTGTTTAGCTGGAAGGGTTTCATTAGAGTCGTGGCAGGAATCCTTCTGGCAGGAATCCTTCTGGAGAGTAGGAACAAACTAAGACAGCAAGTGGTGGCACCACAGAACTACTCAGGATAAGTGCCCCTACTTGTGAACAGAAGCAGCCCTCTCAGTAGTCCCATGAGACAACCTCTATAAGACACTGGAACAATGGGAGAGGACTGGGGATAAGAAAACAGGTTCTGGTCTCACTTCCTTCACCTTAAGATTAAGTCAGGAATAAGTGGCTGAAATCATCTTGTTTATTGTGGGCCTCTACTAGTTTGTATGTGTGTGAATATATGGACGTGTGGCAATTTTCCACAGAAACTGAATTAAGTTTAGGTTTTGGTGTGCTTTATGTTCTGGTATGGTGATTATTATTCTCCAGGGAAGCATGAAAATACTTGTTAGATTAGTTAACTAAAATTAGTATTGGATACATCACTGATGTACTCTTATGTAACTTATGTTTCTGAAGAATTGAAAAAATATCACAAAATTTCTTCTTTCAGCAGTGTATACATCTACATTCTTTATAGACATCTACATAGTTTTTCATAGTAAACAAGTTTTTTTGGATGACACAGTACTCTTAGGTTGAGCTTCGGACACTGAAATTATATTTTAATTACATTCATATGATCTTTGAGAACGTTTATATTAGGACACCCATGAATAGGTATAGCATGTATTTGTTAGGCATTTTGCATTGGCAGGACACAGGGTCTGACCCTTACCGTGTGAGAAACACGTAAAAATAAAGCAGGTCAGCCATGTTTAAAAATATTATTCCAGGTAATATTTACTGTGTACATAAATAGAATATACTATGCTGATGAATGTAGGGAAAAATGGTAGAATGGGGAGAAAGACAGTGAAAAGGTTTTCATCTCTAAGGGACTGCTACTGATTCTGAAGTTCCCCAATGTTAATGGGTCAAATCTTCTGTTGAAATTGAGAAATATCTATTTAAAACTTTATTCTGATCTTAGTTCAACTTCTGATAATATACTTGAGTCTCTGAACTTGGAGGTGTATAATCTAGATTTAATTCATGCCATGGATATTTCAAAATTTTCTAAGGAATAGCAGTAGGCATTCTAAAAAGTGCTTCACTCCAAGCAGTGATCAGCATTGCCTGTGAAATCAAATTCATTAGCATTGCCCTGGGCTTCCACAACTCTCTGCATATCACATTCTGTTCCATAGTTTCACAAACAGAATGCGTTTCATTTCATTTTCCTTGAAAATTTACTTGGCCTAATATCTTGGCAGCAGTTTACAAACTTTGCTAGGTTATACATCTGCCAGCAAGGATAAAGAAGTGGCTTTCAGTCTTCCATGAATAAAAGTAAATTTGCTAATTAAATATTTGTTTTCTTTCTATGATATCAGTCAAACTCGTCTTTTAAACTTCATCCAAAGAAATTTTCGTGCAATTTGACCTCATAAAACTTGCAGCTAGACAAGTAAGATGCAAATTATGGAGAGCTGAGGTAATTAATCTCATAGGCCACTTGCCAAAGATTACAGTTGGTGCTCATGAGTGGTAAGCTTAAACTGTAGACAGGATGCATTTCCTAGGAGTTACAGTGTAGTCCACCTGTAATTATTGGTCAAGAAGCAGGAGTTACTGGAAGGTGTTAAGAACTAGACCAGGTAAGATAAGATGATCATAATGCTGTCCTCAGAAAGTAAAATTATTTTAACTTATTACTTAAAGAGTCAAATAGAAACCTTTCACAACAGTTTGTTACTGATTTTCTGTATACGACAAAAGTGATTGTTTTCTGTTTGTTTGTTTTTCCCTTCTGACAGGTGCAGCTAGTTACAACAGTTTTTACGTTTTTTGCAAAAATTTCTGCCAAGCTGTGAAGCCTGGGAAACTGAGGGTCCGCTGCAATGTGTGTAAACAAGGAACCCTGACCTTGGATAGGGTAAGCTTTTTTGGACTTTTTTTCAAGGTTTTGGAGTATATTTCTTGCTGTTCAAAACCGAGAAGAGTAATTCAAAGGCTTTTGAAAATTTCATTTATTTGTCTCCATTATTTGCATCATATGCAAGGAACAAAGGGCAGACTAGAGCTCCAGTTCTGGAAAGACATAGCCCCTCTGAGGGCTAATGATTAACCTGGTAGTATGCACAATGTATACAGCTACATGTATGCTAAAAAGATGGGATTATAGATGCTTATTCAAAGCTTGTAGCAGTTGTAAAGGCCACAGAAAAACTTGAATTCAGATCTAGATTTGTGGCCGTTATGGAATGAGGTAGGAAGGTTTTGAGTGGCTGTGCAAATGAGAATATTAATCCTTCCAGCCTAGTTGCTGCATGTAAAGCCAAAGGAAACTTATTGCGTTGGACTAGGAAGTTAGTAGGAGATCTGTCAAGCTTGGTTTGCATCCTAAAATGGGAAAGTGTTTTTTGACTTGAATGTGCAGTAGTTTGTTTGTTTGTTTGTGTTTGTGTGTGTTTTGTTTCTTTTGGGTTTTTGGTTTGGTTTGGTTTGGTTTTTTGTGTTTTGGGTTTTTTTTTGGTCTAAGTACTACTGAATTTTACTGGTTCTGTTACTGTTGAATGAGAGCCTCTTCTCTCTCATAAATCAGTGTTTGTCAACCAAGTTTGTGATAGTGAGAGGTTTAGGTTTTGAAGGAGAGTGAACCGTACCATGCTATAGCTTGGGGCAGGGACTTTCATATTTGACACATGTGCAGATGTTCAAATTTGTCTTTCACTGTGGTTTAAAGTGGTTATTTTCAGCTTCATGTTCTCAGTGTAGCACAGTGCTTCAATGTCTCTACATGTAATAGCATTGTAAGACTCTTTAAAAACCCAACTCCTCTATTCTCATTTAAAAGAATAAATCATACCATGCTTATACACATCCAATTCAAAAAGCTATAACAATGAACTCCCTCAAGCTTTGTGTACTAATCCTGAATTACCTGACTATCTCTGATGTATTTCAGAGGCTTCAGAGAGTTGCATTTTGTGGTGTTCCAGATGAGCACATCTAAGGGGATTTTTTTTCTCTCAAAAGTTGCATTTAGTGATTAGTGTAGGCTTAATCACATATAAATCAAGACACAAGAGAAGTCACCATTAATGTACATTTTCAGTGGTGGGATGGATAGAAACACAGGCAACATTGTATTCAGCTGGAATACAAGCAGTCGTGCTGCTGAAAGACATTGCTGTTATCACTAGATGAGTCAATCTTGTGCATCTCATTTATGTCACAAAACATGAGTCCTTTGCTAGACTCAGTGTCTTTCTTCAGCATGCCCACTTTTGGGAAGGATGACTTTCACATCTATCTATACTGTTTGGTTTGGAATCTCTATGTTCCTTTTATTAAGTAAACTTTAATAAATTTCCCAACTTTTCAGCTTTTATAGTATCTGCTAAACAGTGTTATTTGTTTTGGAGACTTAAAAACCAACCAACCAAACAAACAAACAAAATATCCAACCTTTTATTGTCTCCCAGGAATTCCTCATAACTCCATGCTGGAAGCTCTATTATAAAAAGTTTGAGTATGGTATGCTTACCAATAAGTTCTAATTGCCTGGAATGTACATGGGCTCGTATTTGTTTAGCATGTACAGGGTCAATGAAACAATAAATATACACAAGCTGATAAATTCAATTGAATGGGCAGATAACAGCAGTTTCTTCTTTTTATTTGCATATTGTACAGTAAATATGAAAAGAATAGCTGAAAACTTGCAGTGGAAGCTGTTCCAGTTTTCAAGATTGATTAAAAAAATCCCAGCTTTCAGAAGATTTGAGAAGTTACTTCAGCATAAAAGTACAAAAGACGAAAGGGAGATATCTTTTGGAGAGTATCAAATGATAATTTTAGTCTGTTTTAGTTTTCAAATAATACTTGTCTATGAAATTAATTTGCACTTAAGATTCTTGTTACTTTTCTCCCAAAACAAAGAAAATCTGTTATCATTCTTTGTCTCTCAAATTCAAGCAGAACACAGAAGTTAGGAACAGTGAGCATGCTGGTTTTGCAGCTTGGGCTGTCAGTCCTCTGGACTTCCAAAATGCAATATTTGAAATATGGGCACACTTAGTCTCATGAATGTGCTGTTCAACAGTCAGTTTGTTTTATAAATACATAACGTCTACCTCAGTTCTCTGGCTGTAAAGAGTAGGTACAGATTTGGCAGGTGCCTGGCCCTTGTGAACCTCTTTTTTTGTCATTTTCTGGTGTATATTCCGGGGAGACAGGAAATAATTCCACCTGAGGACGCTTCTAATATGTACTAAGACTCATTTATTTTTCAGTACTGTGTAGAGGCCTCTCTCTGTTAAGGCCAGGCAGAAGTGTGGCCCATACAGAAAGTGCTCTGCTTTCTTCAGTGTGCTGCAGCCTACAATAGGCAAGTTCTGTCCAGCTGAAAATCTTACTGTCAATCATTTGACTTTAAATGATATGACTTGCATATCAAAAAAAAGTTCAAGTTAGTATACTATCCCAAACCCTCTACCTTTCGCCTCCAATCCCTCTGGACTGTGTCAGTGATTGCTGATATACATCTTCTCTACTGGTTCTACAGTTATTTTCTTTGTATAGAGAAATTAGTCAAAATAAAGTTGACATGAATAAACTGTAAAAAAAGCATGTCTGTACCACTATACTACAGATTTGCCAGCAAAACCACATTTTTGTAGCTCTCTTTTTTCCTCCCATTCTTCCTGAACTGTACGTGACCTTTACATGGCAACACAGCAAGTTTCTTGAGAATGTCTCTTATGCTGAAAGCACCAAAACACCGTGTAAGCCAGCATCTGTTACACTAGTTCTTTTATTGAGATGAAAGTGTGTAAAACGCACATAAAGCTTTGGGCAGCCTTCACTTACTCTACATGCTAATTCTCACTTACTCTACATGCTAATTCTTTTCCTACCTAAGCTACAAATGACCAGCTTAATTAAATTGAGCTTTCTTTTTTCATGGTGTGTTGACTTACATTTTAAAATATTACTTACTCATTTAAACAGTCTTATTTCAAAACCTTATTTAACTGTCATGCCTATTTGCATAGCATTATTTTCATATATGATGCTTAGAGTGAATTTATGATACTATATTTCTGTGAAATTAAAGAGTCCACTGTTTTTATTTTTGCGAAAGATATCCTTCTAAATATTAAATTTGTTATTTTTCATTTGACACTTAGGCTGGTGTTTTATGGACATTTCATGACCTAATGCTTTATGGGAGATACATACCAGGTTGATTTAATTATAAGAAAACATCGGTCAGTGCAGAAGTATCAGCTCTCCTTAGTTTCTCTAATTAATCAAGCACAAAAGCATGTCTGCAAAGACTGAGTGTGGGAGTCTGGTGTAGACCACCTAGAAGCCTACCAGTAACTTTCTTCATATAAATTGAAAATTTTAGTCATTAGTTTCACAGTGTTGTTCGTTGGTTGTTTGGGTTTTTTTTCATATCATACAATTCTGCAATTTGTTTCAGGAACTGTGATTCAGATAATTATGATATTCTTCTTTCCAGGAAAAAAACCCACAAAATGAAACCACCAAAAAACAAACAAGGAGGCAACAGAAAACTTGAAATAAACAAACAAGCAAAACCCCACAAAAGAAAGTCTAATTATAGCAGTCACATTTGCAGTTCTTCTTTTGGAGCCATAAGAGTGTTAATATTCACAGTGTTAACTCTATATTGAAAAGGAAAATGTGTATCTGTGAATGGAAGGCCTGATTCTGCAAACTGATATGCACCAACTATACACTAACCCAGACTTTTTCAGTGTAATTGATTCTGTTATGTACTCCTGGTACAAAAGACATTTGATTTGGTATCTATTTGTCATAATACTGAATTCAACTAGAGTAAGACTGTGGATTGAAGTGTGGTAAACAGACTTTAGGTCTCCCTACTCAGCCACAGGTGCTATGGTGAGGCCATTTCTAATGCGGGGACTCATTACGATTTGGTCATTCTTCTCACTGTGTCCTTGGTAGTTAGTACTGGTTGAGTTTTCAGTAAATCCTCTAGTGCAAGCACCCAAAGGAGTTTGTCACAACTTCTTCTACACTTTCCAAGTGTTCCTTATAGTTCACATCATTATATCAGATCTTTTCAGACATAGGGAGTTATATTCATATCTGATTTAGCTCCCTGCAGCTGAGGCTTAGTTTCTGGCACTTACAGGACATTTGGTGTGAATAGTCCCATTGCTGTCCCTGCCCTCTGCGCTCCAGAGGAGCCTCCTGACTTCACAGGTTTTGTTAAACTGTCTCTGCCACAGAACTACTCCTCCATCATTTGTCGTACTAGGGGTGTTGCTTTCATCTATTGCTTTTCATGTTAACCTAACAAACAAATGGGCATTTGCTGGATTTTGTTTCTCTGCAGCCATGAAAGGCTTGCCATTTAGATCTCTTGTCAGAATAGGCTGTGAGGTACATCCCAGTTCTGTGAGGGAAAAGCGCTGTGGTCTTATGAGTGCCTTTCAATGACTGAGGAATAACAGGTCATAGGCAGTGCAAGTGCTCTTCCTAATAGATGGCGGTGTGGCATTTGGAATTTGATACTTTCATATTTCCTAGGAAGAGAAAGATCTTTAATACAATAATTTTTTTTGAGTTCTTTCTTCCTAACTCCACTTAAGTTATTTAAACAGGGTGTTTTCTTTAGAAGAGATTTTCAGTAATATAAAATAAAAAGGCAGTTTACTTTTACTTCTTTTTTATATATATATATATCATTGTGAAACTCCTTTCCACAGTACATGACCCCTCAAAACTGCTCATTTCAGATCACATCTTTTTCATGGAATTAATTACTTGTATCCTGGCTCAGTGACAAAGAAAGGAAAGAGTACTGTTTATGGCTTTGGAGCAAGGCTGACTGAAAGAGAAGGGGACAAGTAGCACCTCTGAAATTATGTA